AGTAGAGTAGAGAGAGAGAGAGAGAGAGAGAGAGAGAGAGAGAGAGAGAGAGAGAGAGGAAGAATAATAGACATAGAGGTTGGGAGAAGGTAGATTCGGTGCTAAGAAGTTTCTCAATGTAACTCCACCATTCGATCTGTTCCAGGCGAGGTGATTGGCCAGCGGTTCCTGGGAAACGAGAGCCACGTGGAGCACTTCAAGCTCCTGGAGCGCGCGACCACTTCCATCCTGATTGGCGCCAGGTAATTGTTACGTGATTCGATTCTTTGTAAAGGATGGAGAGGGAACGGTCATCGGCTAAACCGTGGATACACCCACGTTTCTCTCGAGTCACTCCCTCGATGACGAAGTCTCCCCCTCCTTATGACGTGTCCTCTTTAATTTTACATGAGAGCATTCCCTTCCTGATCGATCGACCACCGGGTCTTTTCGATACCGATGGAATAAATTCTTTCAATTATGGAAAACGAAGATTCTCGCGCTTGTGATCGCGCAATCGTCGAGATTTTGACGCGTGAAAGGTATTTTTATTCGTTCGATGATTGAGATATGATGAGATTTCTAACGTAAGAATATTAGATGTTTCTATTTTGAAATTTTCTAAGATTTTTTAATTGATTTAAATGATCGTTCTGAAGGAAACGAAAAATTTTGGAAAGATTATGACATTACGTATACAATTTTTTGAATAATGATTTTGTTGAAATTTTGTTTTCAATAACAAAAAGACGTGCGATTGTTGAAGTTGTAGCGACAGGAATATATATCGAAGTTCGCACAGGGGGAAGTTATTATCGATCATTGTGAGTCATAGTTACGTATCTATCATCTGTGTTACTAACCACTATCAATCAGTTAGTTTATCTTTAAATTATCATCTTAATAATATCATCTTAATGTTTTAATTATTGAATTAATTGGAATTTTAGATATTGGATATAATTTTCAATTCGAGAAAAAAGTTAATCAATTATTTCTACTTTTTTTTTTGTAATTGAGGAAACGTTTTATTTTTAATTGAGAATTGTTTTAATCTTGTTAAATATGATATATTTAAGAAGCAATCATAGATACTGCTTTGAACGCAGTTTCAGAATAATATTCAATTAACCATTGCAATAATCATTGGGCCAGAGCATTGTTGTCTACCTTCAGGGTAGCTTAATTCAATTATATCTCAGACTATTAGTGGTAGCATTTATCAGAGTATAATTGCGTTGTGTTAATAAGCATACTGTCGACGATTTGTTAAATTATATAAATATAATAACATTAATTCTAAGGTAAATATTGTAATGTTCGTTTCGATACAAATGAATTAAATTTACAACAAAATTTCTTTTATATCTCGATATTATAAATTTTTTCATCAATAATTCGAAGAAAATACACGATTAATTTTATTTTTGAAAAATTTTCTCGATTCTATATAAATATATAACGTGATTATACATTCATGATACATCTTTGACAAGTCAATTTCAAGCAACAAACAAACAAAAGTTAAAGGTTAAATTAAAGTATATCTCACGAATATAGTAACACCTTAAAAAGTTATGAACCCTTTTTTTTTTACCACCCTCTATATTTGCATATAAGCGTTTACATTAAAGGCAATAAAAGTGAGCCACTAGAACGATATTACTTCCACGAGGGAAAGCCAGAAGTAGCTGTAGTAAAAGGAATGTAATTTTTTTTGGGGGGGGGGAGAAGAAGAGGAAGGAAAGAAAAGAAAAAAAATCGTAAATTTTAAATAGCTTGAAACGAAAAAAAAAAAAAAGAAACACCGAATTCCAGTCAACTATGGTTTACATTTTCGAGTTTCAACGATAACGTATTCCCTCTAGATAGAGGCTCGTATTTCGCTCCTTTTAACACGTTCCTCACACTTTTCCTAGGAATATGTTTCACTTTAAAGGCGAAGGTCTATCGAACGAGTGTGCCGTGAAGCACGAAATAGAATAAAGATCAATTTTTCTAAAGGAAAATATGATATTTTTCTATTCCTCGAGATATCTTCTCAAGAGCTATCGATATTCAATCTTATTAAAATTTTCAGTTATTAGATCATGGATCGTTCTATACTTTAATCCTTTTTTTTTTTCCTTTTTCGTTTTTCTAGAAATCTAGAACGAAATTCATTTCTCGAGACGAAATGTGTTTTTTTTTTTTTCATGAAAATTGTTAAAGAAATTAAATTAAACTTTTCCCTTCTATCTATTCCGGAACGAAGAAATCCCTTTGTGTGTGACAAAGTAAAAGTAACTTACGCGTTCGGGAACTTTTCTTTCTATTTCAACTCTCAGAACAAGAGACAGCCTCGTAATTTCGTGCATGGTTTTCAATGAATTTCTATAATTGGATTTATTTAACAATTTTTTAGAATAATTCTAATAACTACATTCGTTTCTACATAATATTTCTGAAATTTAATCTGTGACACATCTTCTCTTTCTCTGGTTTATTTTTAAAAAGCTAAAGCAGCATCTTCGATACACATTCGAGATTATCTATATCTGTAAAATATTTGAATAGCTCTACACTCCTCTCTCTTGTACTCAAACACTTGAAACTTCCACTCAATTTTATCTCTTATAATAACAAACAATCTTCTAAAATTCCTTCTTCACAATAACGTTCTACAATATTATATAATATCTACAGTGTTTCCTTTCAATTATAAAAAAAAATATACAAATGCTCTTTTTGTTATCAAAATTATCAATTTTCATTCGAACAAAAATATGATCTAATTATTTTAACTCATATTTGATGATGATCCAGAATTTAATAAAAAAAATCATTCAAGAAACAGATACAAGATAATACATTTCAATTTCAAACAAAAATTTCTTATCCTTTCGATCCTGCCAACGCTTACATTCTCCATTGCATAATTTTCAATCCTTTGAATCGCCGCGATAACACGCGTTTCCACGTGATGCGTGATACCATCGTGTGTTACAGATACAATAATGATTCGATATTACCTTTGCGTAATACACGATTCAAGGATCGTAATTTACAACCGCGAAGGATGAGGGGGAGGATGGGTGGTCGAGTGAGTAAACCATACTCGGTTGTTACCAGTTATTACAACGTGGTGGTTATTAGTACGGCATACTTCGTATAATTGCTCGGGTAACCGATGTAACAATAATAACAAGCTCGACGCTTTGCTCTGTTAATTATCGTGAAGGGCCCATCGTGAAGGGAAGGGATACTGATTTTACACCGACCTCCTCCGGGTGAGGCTTTGATTCGAAAGAGATCGACCTTCGAATTTATCACGATGCTTAGCAGGATCGAAGACGAAAGTTTGAATACATAAGAATGTCGATTCACTTATTGGAAACAATTCAATAAATAAAGAATATGAATTAAGGAAGTCATGTCATATTAGATGAGACTTCCTTTAAAAGCTCTAATATTATTTTCTTCGTGATACAATTGTATGGGAAAACTGATAAATGAACAAAGAATTTCGAAAAGGATGGCCAGAAGAGATTATCAATATTTTGAATAATTAATGAAAGACACTTCAATTTCGTTAAAAAGAAAAAAAAAAATCATAGTTCAAAAGAACTTGAGATTGGAACGCAAATTATTTCTAATGCGTGGCACAGATAGAGTTATTTCAATTGCGATCCTCGAAAATTGTTCCAAATTGAGTGTGTTAATTATTCGAATAATACGATAATAAAATTCCGTTCCCTTTTCATTGTGTCCAACGGATTTCATACGATGGAAAGTTGGAATTTCTCAATGGGACAACACAGTTGATAATGCTCATTATATTTTAATGTATCGTTGTTCCATGAGAAAACGGGATTACGATGTTCGTGGCTACGAAGGAGATTGTATTCAAAAGGATTTCCTTTCTCATGGAAATTTGTATTAACTTGGTCGTGTCGTTTCAAACGTTAAAAAGTGATCCTATCAACGTGGCAAAGAGAGTTTTCACAGGAGCGCGTTTTCTTTCGTGACCAGACGCTCTCTTAATCAATGTGCTAATTTCGATTTTCTTCTCTGTAGAGCATTCTCATAAGGCTCATCATGTGCATTCATTTTGATCATAAAACGTATTATATATCTTTACGATTCGTCTTTTAAAAATATTTCCAAATAATAATTGATTAAGTTTGAAAAGATTGCATCGAATAAAAATTTAATTTTACTTTTTATTTTTAATTTGATTATAATTCCATATTTTCATATAGGAAAAAATTTGTTACGCATCATTGATAACTATTTTTTAAATCATTAAATTAAATTACTATTGCGATTAAACATGATACGTGATTAGAACGTTTTACCAACAATTTTTAACGTTTTTCAAAAATCGATATTACCACGTTGTTATTATGAATCAGTCATCGACAGCTAAGTAATGAACTCATCGATCATTAATATCTATGGGAAATTGGTTTTCTGGGAAAAAATGCACGAAATGCCGATAATCTAGTGGCCCAGTAAATCAATCCTGTTTGATCACATCACAAACTTGCATACATGTTCTTACGAAGATTTAAACTCATTATAAGCTGTGTTGGACGTAACTGCAAGTTAGCAGAAAATTAACTGAGGCAGACAAACTTGCAACAGTTAATTGAACGTTAAGTAACCTGTTATTTTAATACGAAAGTGTAATAATAATAACAAAAGTTAAAATAAAATATTAGGAATCGTTGCTGTTTTAAAATCACAGTTATAATTCCATATATTTTATTCAATTAAATTATTGTTCCTTCAGTATACACGAATATAAATTTTCCTTATTTAAAAATATTTACTTCACGCTATAATAATTTACAACAAAGAATGTACAATCTTTTTTTCATAAAAGAACTCGTAATTAAGAGGGGAAAAAAAAATAAGAATACCTATTATTAAACATTATTCGAATTTAATAATCTACTATATTCCATAAATTCAAACTCCCACGAGGAAAAATAAACGTAATCTTTTATTAATTATAGCATCAGAAAAAAGGGAAGATATAATTAGAAGAATATATCTTTTAATTTTCATTTGAAAATATCAAAAATAAATGCAAGTACAATATTTTCTCTCTCTTAATCATAATAATAATAATAATAATAATAACTGTTATCTAAAAACATGTTCGTATTACGAGAAAAGAAATTTTTTCTCTCGCAACAGAACGATACTTGATCAAGCTCATAATTGCTCCAAATAGATTCGATGAATCGGCCATGCACATACACGTATATAAATACACGTATATAATTGTATCGGTACGTATGCAACAATAACTGTCGGTATTCATGCGCGTTGTTCTGGTAACATAAATTTTTGCAACCCTGTTATTTTAATTCGGATTGAACGACTTTATTTTTCCGCAGTAGCGTTTCAACCGTCGTGCACCGTTTTTAGATAAAGTGGTCTCTTTTGTTCCCGCTGATATACAGCTCGAAATTGCGCCGGTGTTAAATTCAAAAAAGAAAAAAAAACTTTTATCCTTCTCCTACCGACGCGTATTTTTTCTCGAGTTTTTTTTTTTTCTGTGTACGAACATCTTCCAACGTGGCCGCAATTAACGATGGAAATACAAATACATCAGCGCGCAATGTAAAGTGTGATTCAATCAGATGAATGGTGCACGAATTTCTCCATGTTTCTCTCAATTTGCTGTATAATACGGAGTTAAAGTTATATTATTCGTGTGTAATGATATATATATATATTTCTTGTTATAAATGATATTATGATCGAACGACATTTCATATTAAATGTTGTCCCTTTTTTATCGTCTTCTGGAACTTTGCTGATTCTCTGTATCTATATTGCACTACGTCTGTAACGAGGATGGGTTAAGTTTCACGAATCTCAAAGATTGTATGCGATTGATTGGATCATTAAGGATAAATGGCGACGGCTTTGTCGCGATTAAATAAACTAATTACAATGGAACAGGGGCGAGCAAAGTTTCCAAGTTGTGCTACGTGTGACACATTAAAGGCGATACATCAGGGACAGCTTAATACTTGGGCTAACTTGACATGCAGTTTAATCAATTTAGTAGGAGAATTTATTAACATGTGTGTGAGATGATAGAAAAAAAAAAAAAAACACGGTTGACTCGATGAAAAATGTCGGGAATTATTGAAATTAAAAGATTCTTATGAAGTTGTCAAAATCACACATACTGTAACAGATAATAGATAAGAACAGACTTTAATAAACATTCTTTGTATTTCGTTTAAAAAAGTTCAAGATTGACTTAATAAATGATTCCAGTGTGAATTTGTTTCTTAAATAGCAGTTTACATTATTAAAATTGGAAATAATGATAAAATTTACGTTTCTTGAAAATTTATTTCCAGATATAGTCTCGTGAAAAATATATGTATCACTTTCTCAATTTTCAAAGCCAATGATTAATCCTTTTGCCATGATGAAATCGATCCGTGTGGTATTCCATTACAGAATGGAATGTCATAACTCACTATATTTGGTAAACAGAAATCATAATTATATACTTAATTATGATACAATGTTATTCTGTTCCACTCTGATTTATTTATGTTATTAATTACCATAGTTTGATTGATTTATCTTGCAATAATATTATTGTCATAGTTTTATTTAATTGAGAATATATTTATTTATCTTTTGTAAGAGAAACAATATTAACACAATGTGAATCGTGAAGCAATTGTTATTTTAAATAATAAAATCCATATAAATTTTTCTTAATGAAGTTTATCTTCACAAAAATTTATATAAAAATCACAATTTAAATAAATTTAGAATCGATACTTGTAAAGTAAACTTATTATAAATAAACAGATTTTATAAAACTCTTAACTAATGTTACTATATTCGAAACAGATAGATATAACAATCCAATTTAATTCGAGCAAAAGAAATAATCGTGTATACCGCGTATTCTACCTTAAAACTCGATTAAATCGTATTAAAATTAAGAAAACTTTGAACCGCCATAACTTCATAAATAATAACTTCCGGTCAACGAGTGAGCGATCGTTGGAAGCGCGGAACCTTGCCCTTTAAAACGCTTTTTCATTTATCCCGATACGACTTCCGGTTCCCGAGATATCGTCGTGTAAAGCAAAGGGTAATTTTTAATCGTTTACTATCTCCGTCCTTATCGCTTATTCGGACCTCTCGCTCCCACCTCGACTCGCTGACCTATCCCAAACTGCAGACAAGCGGCAGACGCGATTCCTAGAAATGCATAGTACGCATTTCCAAGAAAAATAAGTAGGCCACTAGGTCGCGGACCCATTCATAATTTTTGCACCGTCTTGAACGATATGGACACTTCGATTCCTTATATCTCGGCAACCGCTTGGAATATCGGGATAATTCAAAAAGCGACTTCAATGGCATGGTTCCCTCTATTTTCTGGGTGGATTTTGAAAACAAAAATTTTAATTCTTTTCACGATTTTTATGCGAAAAAGTTCGAGTTTTATTTATGAATAATATATTTTATGATTGTAATGATCTGTTGCTGTGATGTATAGTATATGTTAATTTAAATTTGTTTAATTTTATTGTTTAAAAATAATTATTGTATGTTTAATACATTGAATCAAGTTGAATATTGGAATCGTGAAAGAATCTTCTCTTCTGAATATTTTAGCCAACTAAATAAACTTTCTCTTATTCCAAACGATCGATAATCACCATCACTTCGAACGAACCGTCAAATTTTTGCCAACGCGCGAAGATCTCGAAAAACATGGGATCTCGAAAAATACCAAACAAATGCAAATTTAATCAAAACCGGGCGACATCCCCTTTCCAAACATTCAGCTTGTAAAGAAAGCGGCAAATCAAGAGATTAAACGTGGACCGAATGTTTATTCGTTTCGCGAGAAGCATTCGAGCGCTTTTTCCTCCCCCAGCCGGCGTTCTTCCATCAAGCTTGTCGTAATTACTAATGCTTATCCCCACTCGAAATCGTGAAGAGGCGAAAGAATGCGCGGAAAGATTAGGCGAAGGATTTACGAGACGAGGACTTAACGTTTCCCTGTCTTTTTCCCTTTGTTCCAGGAACGCCATTTACAACATAAGTCTGCATGACCTGACGGAGATCGTCGACCAGGTGAGTGGGACCACTTTCTTTCTTTTTTTGAAAAATAAAGAACGCGTGTTTTATATGAAATCGAGTGAAATAATGGAATAACGTTTATCATACTCATTGCAAAACCTTAACCTCTGTGTTATCTACATGTAAAGAAACGATTGATATTGATTTACAGAAATCAGACTTATTACTTTGTTCATCTTTCGAGAAAGATCGTATCGTAATAAGAAAGAAAAGAAAAAGTACGAAGGTTTCTCCGTTCTATCCTTTCTTCTTCTCGAGCATTCCATTCAAGGATCAATCGCTAATACCTTGTCGAGTTAATTTCAATTCTTCTCGTTAGATTCTCGTCAAAATATTTCTCCCTTTCAATAACAAACTATAATTAATAATAAAAACAAACGTGAAAACAAATATGCTTTCTATAAGCTATATAAACAATCATAATTCGAATCTCTAAACATTCAATCCCATCAATTTCTTTCTCCCATTCTTAAACACGATCGATCCATCCAACGCTTACCAACATTTTTCACCGATATTATAATTCCGCTTCCACGAACAAAAAGTGGAAGATATAAAAAAAACCAGGGAGGAAGGAGACAAAAGAGGAGAGGAAGATCTGTGACAAGTTTAAAATCAGGCGAAAGGAAGCAAGAATAGATTTGCATGATAATAAGTGTTTTTCGTGTAATCCGAGGATCCCTCTGCAAACAAGTGAAGAGAATCGGACGATCGACTTTCTCGAGGCAAGCTGACTCATTCCACGAATAAGTCGCCAAATCCCCTCCAAAAAAAAACTGCCCTTCTCCTCGTCCCTTATATTTCACTATTTCCCATCCCATCAATCAAACTGGATAGATCTAGATCTTTCCCACGAGAGGCGAACTCGATCTGTGTCTCTCTTCTCTCTCTCTCTCTCTCTCTCTGTCTCCTGTGGCCGCGTGAAATCGACGCGGAGATGCGAAACTGCAATTGGAAGCCGGATATCGATTCAGGCACGTGTATCGTTAAGGGAATCGAGTCGAAATGATTCGTTGCGTTTTTCTTTTCAAACAATTTTCGTTGCAGCTTGAAAACTTGGATCGATTGCATCGATGTTAAGGGCTGATTTTGCATATATCCTTACGTATCGTTCATTCATTTCGATTCTCTCAAGTATATCTCTTTTCGAGATACGATAACGTTATTTTCGAGCAACGATCGAGCACGATTCAATTCTCTTTTAATAGCTAGAGGATCATACGTGATGCCACGATTCTTTTTAGTCAGAATCGGCAGCAGAGAGAAAGAGAGAGAAAGAGAGAGAGAGAGAGAGAGAGAAGTTGAGAGGAAGACGTAACGCGATAAAGAGAGATCGATGGAGGGAAACGTGTTCCTTCCTTGGCCATAACGGTAAGTCGTTCAGGATGGAACCAGTAAAAGTCAGCGGATTCTCTGCACAATTCGTTTTGTTTTATCGCTCGGTTTTATGTATATCGTGGACTCGAAACGGTGCCACGATCGATTGTTTCTGATCCAGCAGATTTATCCTCCTCCCCCCTTCGCGATTTAGATATTGCTGCAATGACGTAAAATAAAATTTCGCGCAAGCGAGTTTCAGACAAATTATATTTTACACTTATCCTTCCAAGCCAGAAAATATATAATCATCGAAATGATCGGTTTTCAGAAATTTTTTATCACTGAATATACGTATAACTCCTGGAAAATTAATATCGATTTTACCGACAACGATTATTTCGTCGCCGTTTCAATTACTTATCATTGTTATTACGCCAATTGATGATTCCAGTGGCAGTGAAATGTATCCTCTTCCGTTTATATTAATAAACGAAATATAAATAGTCCGTCTTTGTCGTGGGATGATCGATTCGATACATTTGGCTTCCGGTTACGATCGTGCACGTCATCGTGCGGCTTGGTTGATAGAACGGTGACACATATTAATCGACGTTTCTATCTGCCGACTCCAAGTCCTCATGGGCGATGTAATAAATTGGAAGCAATTACTCTTACACCGATACCGCTGCCACGAGATACGTTTGCCGTAAGCGTTGCACAATCTAGCAAATAGGATTTCTTCCTCCGGCGCGAATGATAAAAGTGATTGAAAAACTTCTAAAAATGGGACGGCCCAACGTCAATCCGTGGATTTTTATCGTGGATTCAGATATTCGTGATACTTTGATTCGCTGGATTATAATAATAATAATAATAATAAGTTAAAATTGTTTACTTGGAGAATGATTAATTTTATTTTATTATTATTGAGTTGAAATTCATGGTCGAATGCCTTGTTACAAGTTACACAGTTTAGAATAATAAATTTAACGAACGTACGAATGGGGAATGAGTAATGGACTTACAGATTTAAATAAAAAAAATTAATAATCGCGCTTCAATTTGTAAGTCAATCGTTCTTTTGTACGATTATATACAGGGAAATGAATATTTGAACGAAATAAATGATTTGTCATGAATCACACGTCTGAGATACAAAAATCTTTTCTTTTTTTAAAGAAATAATACTCGAGGAAGTTAGTGTTTCCAATGCTGATTTTCAATCACAAATTTTATTCATGATAAGATGTTATTTCATTTAACATTTTACTTTTTACTTTGCAGTTTGCAAAAAAGAAAATGTAAATGTAAATATATTTATATTAAAATAATTAAAATCAGCATAAAAAGAAAACGATCATATATTTATTAGAATTTTCTATCAAAAATTTCTCTTTCATCATCGATGGATCATCTCAATTCAAATTGTGCAAATTAATAATCGATAATTTAAATAAAAAAAAAAGGCTATTGTTATTGTAACTCGCTCGATCTTCATTCCTTACTATCCTTAAACTATAATAAAAGTTGAAATTATACTAGTTTTTCTTTTTTCCTCTTTTTCATCGAGGCAACTGGAGCGCGACAAAAATGTAATATTACCTATTATTACACTCTCCATGAAAATTCATCGCGTTCCACACAACTAAAGGTCTCGATATTAAAAATTACATTTGTAAGTGTATTCCTTCTCCTTCTCTGTTATAAAACCTGCCGCCATATTGAATTACCAGGAAGCGCTAATTAATATCTGAAACCGTAGTGGCGCCACCATAACCACTTCATTTCCGCTACGATGGGAGAGAATTGTACTTCGATTATATCCACTCCCTTTCCACAACCGCTTTCGTGGCGTGGTGGATTTCGCGGTTACGGTATTTACAGAAACAACTTTGTCTTGCAGAAGTGGATTTCCGGATAAATTGGATTATTAACAGTTCACACCGTTCGAAATATTGATGCGCCCACTCTATCCAATTATTCCGTCCAATTATTTATGCCATTTCGAATTGCTTTACTTTTCGCGCGTTTATAATTATTTTTCTTGAAAGGAAAGTTTGCGGGGCAAATTCGATTTGGAAAATTTTATTTTTTTCATTCGTTCGAATCGAGAAGATTGAAATTAAAGATAAAGCGCTTTTGACAAAATTAATATTGGCTTTTGTTTCAAAGATGATTTCACAATGGTCAACGATTTATTCCCCCGAGGAAAGAAATTTTTTGATCGAATTTTCGTAGATTTTATTTTTCATCTGCCGTCAATGGGATTATCCGTCAAATTGACGGATTCTAGATTTTTTATTAATGATTTTTGCAAGCGCCTTTAGCGAGATTAATATTGGCTTATAGCAATATCGACATTTTACATTTAGGTTTAGTGTTGATAAAATAATCATAATCGTAGACAGATGAAATGAAATGTCACATCGCAAAATATTATAATGTTCGAAATTCAATTTTAATGTATTATCATCGATATTTCGAAAAATAAATTGAAAAAAAGAAAATATTTAGAAATTATGAGTAACGTGTGTATTTTAAAGAAGATATATAACTTTTAATGCATTAATAAATATCGTTCATTACTTTCTATAAGAAGAGAAGAAGAATCACAAATGTTTTTTAAATGATACAATTTCTAATAATACTGTTCGTTATAAAAAAAATGTCTAACTTGTTCATAAGATTATTACTTGAAACTGTATACATCAATTTTCACAAAATTCAATTGAAGTTGAAACATCTTTTGATCGATGATCGATGTTATTATTAGCATCTGCATCTGTTCCAACTGTTCGACGATAATGCACAATAATTAACACTTCTGTTAATTATTCTATTCAATTATGATTATCTCTCGTCGTCGTATCAATCGAATCATTTATGTTTCAGCTACCGTGTCAAATCGATGACTCGTTTCCTTCTCTGTTGTTATCACCAACCAATTGTGGTAACCAATTTCGTATCCAACGATATTACGATCGAACAACAACGATATTTATTTTTGAAATATCCAGTCCATTTTTAACTACAAAAATTGGATGAAATTTTCAAATTCTTTCGTAAAACTTCTCCCTTTTTTGAAAATAATATTAATCGAAGTGAAATTACGGCTATCGATTAAAATATTCAATTCATCTTTAATCGACAATTTTTTTGATTTATCTTCAACGTTTTTCCTATCTTCTCTTCGATATAAAACAATTGCTAAATTTTGTAAGATGCGAATGACGTTACATATTTGATCATTCGTAAGGAAATGATAATAATCATCTGCCTTTGTTCAAAAGAAATTTTATTTCTTTTCCCTTTCCGTAATGGATGAAAGATTTAATCAAATAATTGCGCAAAACATTGCCTGCACGTAGATCGTTTGTTAAAATGATCTTGGTTTAACGATCTGTAATACGACCAACGTCGTCATGAACAGTGCAAGGTGAAAGTCTTTCGATCATTTCACTGTCAAGCTCTTCCTGCTTTCCCATGTCTGCATGAACAATCAATTACAGGCAATCCCTATAGCAAGTTTCTCCACCATTGCAACGAGGACACGCAATGTTTCATGTTTTCTTCAAAAATCTCGTTCCAAAAAGTCAGAATTGATTAAAAAAGTAAGGAAATTGAAGGAAAATTTATATCTCTATTAAAATGAAGTCTTATCATCAACACGTATC